CCTCAGCCTCCTAAATTCTGGGATTACAGGCATGTGCCACCATGCCTAGCTGGTTTTCTCTTTTCTTCCTTTTCTAGCTTGTTATTTCCTCTTACTTTTCTCTAATTCTATTAATTTTCTTTTATTTTTTAATAGGATTATTTCACACACTTTTCTCTCTTCCTTTTCTTTATTTTTCAAATTTCACTTTTTTCATTCTCTCATCCTTCACCCCCTCCACCTTCACCAGCATAACCAACGAGCTTTATTAATCTTTAGATATTTTAGTCAACAGTATGCAATTTTTCATTTTTAATGGTCTTATAGTTGATGAATTTAGTAGCTATGTACTGTGTGTTAATAGCTGGTTTATCTTTGTGTCTGTATTACAATTATAGATCTCTTTTCTATGGCTAAGAGTGGTACACTGGCAGCTTACACTGGTTCTTATAGCATGCCAGTATCCAGCCTGTCTTTGACTCGTTGCTGATTCTGTTGCTACCGTCGGGGCAGCATAGATGTTGCTATTAATTCATTTTCACTGTATGCCAGCATCTGCCTTGTCTCTGTGTCATCCACAATACTGTGGTTTATTTCTGGAGAACCGGGTGCTGGAACAAATATATAACGCCTTCCCCTCTCAAATTAATGGAAGTGGTTTGGTCTTGAGACAGAGGCAAAGCCTTATAGTTCGCTATGAGCAGAGTGCGTTCCTGAAAAATAGACACCAAGTAAGGAGATCTCCAGAGTAGCAACAAAGTCTTTCCACTATAATCAACCTGCAAACCTCAGCACGTGCTCCCCCGCCCCAAAAAACCATAGAAACATAAGAACACCCGGCAACAAAACTCCTCCTAAACTTCCAACTCCCCCAAAATGAACCCACGCACCATTGATGGGAAGGAAATCAAAAGCCAAACAGCTGAGTTATACAAAATGATGAGACAAAAAAATGTATCAGTAAGATGCTCAGTGACCTCAAAGAGGATATTACTAAACAGATACTAGGCAATAAACAAAACAATCGGTGAGCTTATAGAAGACACTACAAAGAATCAAAATCCATGAAAGTCAGGTGCGGTTACACATGCCTATAATCCCAGTACTTGGGAGGCTGAGGCAAGAGGATTACCAAGAATTTGAGGCCAGCTTGAACTATGTAATGAGACCCCATCTCAAAAAAAAGTTCATAAAAAAGTACCAAAGCAAAATCCAGGACATTAGAAATTCCATTGAAAGTATGGGCAACGTAAGTGACCAATGTGAGGACAGACGTCAGAACTAGAACGTAGGTGTGGTGTAGACGACCATAATCTAAGCTATCTTAAAAACAACAAAGGGGCCTGGGATATAGCTCAAGAGCACAGCACCTGCCTGGCAAGCACAAGGTCCTGAGTTCCATTTCCGGTACAAAAAAAAAAGTGATAGCTTTATAGTAGAGAATGTTTTGGCCAGGGATATAGCTCAGTGGCACAAGCACCTGCCTGGCAAGTGCAAGGTCCTGAGTTCAATTCCCAGTACCCACAAAAGAAATCTTAGAAAAACAACAAGGGATCATGAAAAATGAATCCAACACCTGCTAGATGATACAAAGGAGATTAATCAAAGATTAACTGGAATTTAATGAAATATCAGAAGACAGCACAAATAGCAAAAAAAAAAAAAACCTGTTTACAGAAATAATAGCAGAAAACTAACCAAATATTGCAAAAGAACTGAACAGAAAGATTAGCAAAGTACACAGAACCCTCAAGCAGCCATGATCAGAAAAGAACTCCACACACATCACAGTCAAAATCCTACAAGTCCAAAACAAGGACAGGATTTTTTTTTTCTTTTTGAGACAGGTTCTCACTTGTAATTCAGGCTGGTCTTAAATTATGTAGCCCAGGCTAGCCTTGAACTCATGAAAATCCTCCTGCCTCAGTCTCCTGGGTGCTGGGATTACAGGTGTGCACCACCGCACCCACTGAGGACAGAATATTAGAAGCCATCAGAGAAAAGAAAATTCCTTATAAAGTTAGACACATTAGAAGTAGAGCAGACTTTTCAACACAAACCAACAATGCCAAAAGAATAATGGAATGAGCTCTCTTTCTCCTCCTCTTCCTCCTTCCTTCCTTCCTTCCCTCCTTTCTTCCCATCAGGAGAGACGGCTCCATCTGGCTTCAGTTTTCTGTATTCTGACTCTTGTCGTTTTTTTCTCCATCCTCTCACCCTGGAACACAGAGAGCTGCATAGGACACAGCCTGTGGCTCCTGAACAGGGATCCAGGGAGCAAGGAAACGGGTCAGATAGCAGCCTCTCACCACCCTCACGCTGGGAACATCGAGAGCTGTGCAGACGCAGCAGAATAACGCGAAAAGACGCAGCTCCCATGAACTGAGAAGCTTCCACCATGAAGTTTCTGCCTTGAAGCCTGGCAACCGTATCCCAAATCTCCGGAAACCTTGAGTTCTAACACAAACCAACCAACCAAGAATGCATACTACAACCAATGGGGGACGCAGTTAAACAGAGCGGGATGGGGCGGGGAGGAAATCGGCAGCGGGAAAATAGTGCACTGATATGAACGTGTCAGTACATTTCAGTAATAACCTTCAATGTGAATGGTCTCGACTCCCCTATCAAATCCCAGCACTTGGGAAGCCGAGGAAGGAGGACTGCGGTGAGTTCAAGGCTAGCCTAAACTACACAGTGAGTTTGAGCCCAGCCTGAACTATACAGTGAGACCCCAGCTGAAAAATAATAATATCAAGCCCACTGAAAATTTCATCTTGATTCCAAAAAAAAATGGCTATCATCAAGAAACCGAATAATAACAAGTGCTGCTGAAGTTGCAGCGAAAAAGGAACCCTTCTAACTCATCAGTGGGAATGTAAATGAGTATAGCTATTATGGAAGTCAGTATGGAGATTGCTCAAAAAACTAAAACAAGAAATTCCATTCAGCCCAGCTGTTGCCCTTCTAGGACTCTTCTTGAAAGAGTTAAAAACATCCTATTACAGTGATACACGTGTACCCATATTTATAGCACCACAATTTGTAACAGCTAAACATTGGGACCAGCTTGTATGTCCATCAGCAGATGAACAGATAAAGAAAATGTAATATTGAATACAATGGAGTACTACTCTGCTGTGAAGAAGGATACATTTCTGAGCCATTTGTAAGCAAATGGATACACCCTGAGACCATAATGGTAAGTGAAATAAATCTGACGCATAAGCTTAAAGAGTGCACTGTTTCTCTTATATGAGAAACCCAAAGTAGAAAGAGCAAAATACAAGCTATGTAACAGGAAATAGGGAGATAGACATGTTGGACAAGGGTAAAGGACCAAGAGCTGGATGAAGAAGGGAGGGAGGGGAGAGGAAGGAGACGAAAAAAGAACTAAACTGTGCTCTGTACCTGTCCTGGTTCCCCGTGAAGAATGCAATCACGGTGTCCTGCAAACATGTACTAGGGAAGCATTTTAAAATTGAAGAATAGAGTAGATGACAGTAATGAGAGCTTTCTCCCGAGCTTTCTTTTTAAAGGACGGTGACCTTTGTCCTCTTGCACTCTTTCTCTCTCTTGCTTGCTCTGAAGAAGCCAGACAACGCATGTCGGTAGAGCCGCCCGGTGGCCAGGTTCCCACGGCGAGTAGTGGAGGGCAGTCCTCAGTCCCACAGCCCACAGGGCACTGCATCTTCTGGGAACCTCAGGGGTGAGTTCGGGTGCAGATTCTGTCCAGGCTCAGCTCCGGGGTGACTGCAGTTCTGGTCAGGACCTTGACTGCAGCCCCGTGTGAGGGACCCTAAGGTAAAGGACCCTGCAGAGCCACGCCTGGATTCCTACCTACAGACCCGTCAGGGGACGCAGGCTGTGTGTGTTTGTTTTGTGTGTGGTTCTGGGGATGGAGTCCAGGGCCTTCACCGTCATATCTCCAGCTGTCTCAGTTACTTTTCTCATTGCTGAAACAAAATACCGGACACCCAAGGTTAAAGGAGGAAAGGTTTATTTGCTCACAGTTTGTAGAGGTCTCAGTCCATAATTGGCTGGCTCCAAGCCCGGCTGGCTTGGCAGTGGGGCATCGCAGAGAGAGGCAGTTCATGGTGGGAAGAAAGTAGCAAAACAGCTGTTGACCACAGCTCCTTCTGTCCCTTATATCTTATCCAGGCTACTTAGGGTGGGCAGCACTCATACTCTTAATCCTAGTGCCCTTGATCCTAGCACTGCACCAGGAATGAATCTCAGTGTCACACACTCTAGATCCAGCCACTTCTGAAAAAGCCCCACCTATGACTGCATGAGGGAATATCTAGACACAAGCCATAACATCAGCC